GTGTGTGTGTGTGTGTGTACATAGTTGGTGCGTGGGGGCTCAGCCCTAAAAGCAGTCTTGTTTATCAAATTATCTGCTTAATTGCATGCGTATGCATGAAGAGCGAGCGAGGCTTTCTTGGCGAGGGGTCTAATGAGATGCTGCTGCTAGCTCGGGTCTACGCTGGACACAACGACCCGTTTTAGTTAGGGGTTTCGGCGTTGACACTTCTGTTGAGAAGTTAAAAGATCTAAGGTTTAACACAACCAACCTAAACACTGAACCCTAAAGCAACTCAAAACACGCTCCCTCGGTCGGACCCATATTATAACAACCAACGACCACTTAAAACAAACCTGTGAGCTCGCCTTTTCGCTTACTGCCACAGTCAGACAGGGACGACGGACGGATCTTGGATTTGGGTAATCCCAGTTACAAGAGTAGTAGGATTTTGGGTGCAACGTGTACCATAAGGTACTCTGAGGGTTCTACAAGGTCACTAAATATGCGGGGTTTGCGAGTTGGGGGCAAACGCTCACAGATTTAGTGCTCGTGCTATTTTATGCTGCTTTACTTCAGACGTTCCGTTGTAATGGCATGTGAAAGAAACTCTGACGGCCAGTTGTTCCGCTTCCCGGTAAGGATCCGGTTTAGGGTTTAGGGTTCAGGGTTGAGGGCCGGAGCGAATGGCCTTGTGCGCAACCCCGAGGTCTCTCGGAAATCGGGCGCCTGACAGCAAAAGCAGGTCAGGACTGAGCTCAAACCCTAAACCACCCCTGAACCCGTAAAGCCCCAAAACCCTAAGCCCTGAACCCCTAACTTGGGCCGTGGGAGCAGTGTATAGGTCCTAAGGCTCTAAAAATTTGGGTATCTCGGGTGCAGGGGTTTGTGAGGTTTTTGGGAGGTTTGGGGCACTGGCATTGCGTTTTTGCAGCTTTACGGTTCGAGGGTTTAGGGTTTAAGGGTTTGGGATGCTTCGGGCTTCAGAATTCCGGGAAAAGGGAGTTCGGGGTTTAGTCGAGCGCTTTGGAGTTCCTTTGAAAGTCTCTGGACGGGCTCCTGCAAGGGCTGCGTTAAGGCCTTTAAGCCTTTAAGGATTCCTTTAAGGGCTTTAAGGTAAGGCTTTAAGGATTCCTTTAAGGGCTTTAACGGGCTTCCAAGTTTAGAGGCTTCGGGTTGCAAGGCTGGCACCAAGAAGGGGCTGCGTGTTACCCCCGGGACACGGAGCACAACAGCAATCACCAGGAGGCCCAACAGGGACCTAAGCATAAGCTGTTGAAGTTCCATCCCCTTTTTCGCAGCTAGGTGCCGCCTCTTTATCGTGGATGGGCCTTCCGGTGCTTTCAAGCATAAGTCAGCTTGCGACAACGAGTACTCAGTAACTCCCTTCCTGAAGGGTCCTGCACCTATCAAAAAGCTCCTTGTAGCTCAATCGCGCTGTTCACTTGGACTCGCCTTGTCGAGGGCTTACTCGCTGACGAATCTCTCACAAAGCCCTAAGCTGCAAGCCGTGATTTGAAAGAATCTGTCCTAAAAAGAAGATTCACCGAAGCCCTGAAGATCCTCTACACTATCGCCTAAACCCTGAACTCACCTAGAAAACTCACCCTGTTTCCGTTGTAGCCGCAAGTTGCTTCTTAAGACTTAAGCCCTGGCCCGGAACCCCAAGTGACATAAACAAGTTCAAACCACAAGTTAGCATACAGTCATAATCTTTAAAGGCCCATAGAACATAAGTTCCTCTGAACGTAAATAAATCTGGTGAAGCACTGAAGACCTGAACCGACAAAAGTTTCTACACCCTAAACGGCTCTCAACAACACTTACCGATTCCTAAGGATTCGAAATGTGGTCTTCCTGACACCTACGCCCTAAGTCCCGAAAAGCATCGCCTCCTACTCGTCGTCATCGTCCGGATCCAGGAAAACGATGGACGTCTCATCTTTCGCTATCCTTGTTTCACAGTCCAATCCCCAGAACAGCAACAACACTGTTACCGTAGTTGCAGGGGTTTAGGGTTTAGGGTCTGCCCTGTTTACACGGGCTTGATTGGAGCTCGCCCGGCCAAATCGCCCCGCAGCACATCAACCCTAAACCCTGATCACTAACTTCGCGCGGCTAAACTCCAAAACACACGGACGCCAAATGCTCAACGGACTCCAAAGCCCTGTAGTTGCGGCTTTAAGTTTTTTGATCCAGGGTTCATTTTTGAAGGTGTAGGGCCAGTTTGCGCTGACGGTCATTTTCTGTCTAAGTATTACAGGAAGCTGTGGAACAGGTTTCTTATCAATGAGACTTCTGCGGATGCTGGGCGCAATGCCCAGGCAAAGGGTTTTGGCGATTGGAGTCTCTGGTAGTGGGACGTCAATTGCGAGGAAAGAGCGGCGGCTTAGGCCCGAAAGGAACAAACCTTGTCCAGGCCAACAGCACAGATAGCACACCACCCTTTTACACCTGGACTACGCATATGCCAGGAACCAAGGCGCCGACTGTGCTGTGGACTCGTGCCACACGGCTACCCCAGATTGCAGCACACCACCCTACCTTAAGAACCCAAAACCCACTTTTTTGTAGGTTCTTATTATTGTAAACCCTAATATGGGATTTATAGGGACCCTACAAAAAAGTAGGTTTGGGGTTCTTAAGGTACTCCCCAAACCGTTCACATCATCGGGGCAGAGCTTCGGAAATTGGCTTCGGAAGGTCATCGCACCAGTAGCAGAGGCATCTTGTCGGACCTATTTACCCTAACCCTCCAGGTACCTTAGGGGCTCTAGTACCCTATATAGTAGGTACTTGGGGGGTTAGGGTTTACATAAGCAGCCAAGCATCTTGATTTTGTGGAACTGGCAGGCATCAATGATTCGCTGGTTGATTTCCTCTGCGATCGCGTCCACGTCATCCTGCCAAACATTATGACAACCACACATGAGCCGCAGAGCGCGCGTCCTGCACACAACGGTGCTAACAGTATTCATGGGTTTAGTGGAGGTGGCTTCAGATTCAGATGTTGTCGCGTGTTGTCATCTTGTTTGCTTTTGTTTGTCTTTCCACTGGCCCCACATGTGTCATCATCCGTCAAAGGCAGCTGCAATATGCGCTTCTTACCTGCCGGCGGTGCAGATCCTGTTTCTGACCTTCGTGGCTGCTCTGGCCGAAATGCTCAACTGTCGCAAAACGGGATCAAGGCGCAACTTCCATGACCAAACTCTAGATCACCAACAACAACTTAGGGTTCGGGGGATAGGGTCTACCTTAAGAACCCCAAACCTACTTTTTTGTAGGGTCCCTATCAATCCCATATTAGGGTTTATAATAAGAACCTACAAAAAAGTGGGTGTTGGGTTCTTAAGGTAGTCTAGGCCACCAACAAGTACTAACCGGTCGAGACTTGGCGCAGGATGCTGCGGGGAATCGGCGACCTCAGTCAAATTTACACTCCGCGGCTAAGATTTCGGCTTGGTTCGCAACAGTAACATCACTAACATTGCTAGCAGTCCGGAAGCCCCAAAGAATGATCTACAGCCTTTCCCAGCTAAGCATCTGGCATGCAGAGCACCTGTAGCCTCCAAGTCGCAGTATGAAACACCCGCATGTTCGACACACTGCCTTCTTCAAAGCATGCTCAGCACAGCTCCCTAAACCCTCAACTTCTGAACCCAACACCCTAAACCCTAAACCCCTGAACCCTACACAGGTTTGGTGCTCAAGGCTTTTATGATCTCAGCCGTCAGCTGAAGGCTCTCTAAGCCTTAGACCGACTGTCTCAGCTCCAGCTCCCCATGTTGCTTCGGCATCTCCTGTTTTTGCCCCTCTGCTGTCAAGTTCATGTCATGTGCACTTGTAGACTAGAGTGGTAAGTACTGAAAGTTCGTCTTCGTCATATACATACACGCAACTACCCAAACTGCAAGCCTACGTTTTCAGCCCCTGAACCTTGGAGTAGAGGCTAAACCCCTATACCAAGCCAACCAAAATCTTACTGATTTCGATCTGCATTCTGCTTTGCAGTACTTAGATCTCCGAATTTGAGCCTTGCCTCCGTGCCGGAGATTAGCTCGGCAAACGTCCGGGTCTTGACAACCTCCGAAATGTCTACGCTCGCCTGCAGATATTAGGCTTCAGTCGCTTAAGTTTTAGGGATTCAGGTTTAGGATGCTTTTTACGGCATCACAAAGCGTTTTAGCGTCTTCCGCAACGGTTAGACAAGGTTACGTAATGCTATATGGGGCTTTAACAGGGCTTGCTGGCATTGCACGGGGTTGGATTAAAGCGTTTCGGAAAAGGCGTATGTCGAGCCTCAACGTAGGACTTCATGGGGTTTTCCGGGGCTTCAGAAGGGCCCGAGGGTGTCCAAGCGGTTTGCTGAGGTCTCGAGTCCTTCTGGAGTCATGTAGGAAACCCTATAAACCCTATAAGGCCTTCTGGGGTTTTCATTTTGGTTGGGGGTAGGTTCAAGTTGTGCAGAGAACCCGAAAACCCCTCAAAGCAAGGAGAAGCAGATTTACGGCTTCTTCTTATGAGCTTGAAAACCCTAGGTGTGGGGTTAAGGGTCCTAAACCACTAAACACAACCATGACCTTACGGGGTTTAGGGTGCAAGGTCTTGTCAGGGCCCTTCTTCAATCGCCTAGGGCCGAGGGTTTACACGGTCTAGGAGTTGATACCCCCTCACAACTTGGACATGCCAGATGAGCTCTCTCGGTGCGCGGTCGGGTGAATGACCGCAGCCGAGCTGCAACTCCACAAAGCTATCCGGGTACAGAAGCAAAGCGTCAGCAAGGCTATCCAGGCAACATAAAGCACAGCGCTATGCTGAAATGATGAACTTTTAGGAGTTTTTAGGGTTTGGGATTTAATGGTTCCGAGGCTCCGGTTCGGATTAAACACGCTTTGAGCTTCAGGGATCAAGCTCAGACTGTTCAGGCACTATAACCAAAAAAAAAAAAAGGAACCCCCCAAACCCAGTTCTAACCATTAAGGCCCCTACATTAGGGGTCAGGGCGTAGGGTTCATGGTTTAAGGAGGCTGTTCAATGACAAGCTTTCCGGGCCTTGGCGCTACACCCAGAGGCGACAAAGGATTTCGCACACCCCTCAACCTTGATTGTTGTATAGAACCCTATGCTTCCAGGGACCTTATTATTGGGTCCTTAAAGGGGTCTAGGGCCCTAACTATAGGGGAATCCCTGGAAGGTGGAACCTGGACACGGAAGCACCTATACTCGGAAATTGCACCTGTCAAACCTCCCGACACCCCAAACCCTACTTTAGCAATCCACGAAACAAGCCGTGAGCACAGGACCTCTTTCTCTAGGAAGCCACGACCGTAGTCCTTGCCTGGTCTGCATTTGTGACACTACCTGGAGTAACCAATGTACCAAGGTACCTCAAAGAAGGTAGATGTACTGATTTTTCGGGCCATCTCCCTTTTTCCAAGGTACAGCGAGGGTTTCTCTAGGCAAACCCCTAAACCGAGCGCTCGATGGTGTTTTTGTGGGGTCTGAGATAGTTCTGAACGGACTGCGCCCCGGAGTTTGAGATGGTTTGGGATCAGAGTGGGGGTCCCAATGTCCGGAGTTGAGAATCAGTTAAAGGAGTGTGTAAGAGGATCCGGCCCGGGGTTTAGGTGTGAAGGGCATTGGGGCTCTGAGTGCAGTATTTGGGCTTTGGTGTTAAGGGCCCGGAGATTAGATGTTTTTGGTATCCACCAAACCGTGAAAAATCTGTGAAAGTCCCTCCTCTCGACCAGGTGAGACTGCCAGCTAAACCTCAAGACCACATCCCAATCAAAAGCGAAGCTCTCAACCCCTAAACCTGAATCAGGGGGCCCGATCCAACCCACTTGCATGGGAAAAAGACTGCCAGAGGTGCCGAACTTGTAGTAGATCTCCGGCATCCAGTGAACCTTCGGCTGCAATCGGCATACCAGTCGAACCTCCACGTCGCGCCCATCCTTGTCAGGGCTTCAGCCCAGAGACTCCAATATCCCTT